TTTTGATGCATTTTCGGCCTTAAAATGGCCGCTATTCGGCTATCGTAAATCGGATCATGAAAAAAATGCATGTGCATATGTCCCATATAATATGTGATGTATGAGTGAAGTTTGAACTTAATCGGTCCATGCATGTTCGAGATACAGGTGACCACGGACGCACGGGCAAAACCATAAGTCCCCGTTTTCGGACTACATCCGAACGGGGACTAATAAACGTTCATCTAATGTATTCACTGAATGTTTTTGCATTTACAATGTAACCACACAATCATTTAATAAAATCAGATACATGTATGCTGACCAAAAATATTTGTTTTACCTTACGAGTAACTAAATGTCCAAGTATGTGTTCACCAAGTGTACATGCTTTAACCTTGTAAAACAGTTTGTTCAGTATTATTATTATTATTATTACTACCAACCTGTCTTGAAATGACCTGGAGACTAGATTATCGGAATATATACTAAAAATAACTTCATATTGTACTTTGCTCCACTCCATAGCAACCTGTAAATGAAAAGAGACATGGTTAAACCCAATCATGCCGACTCTTGTTCTTTATAACATTTTTAATTTCACAGCCATGACACATGTTGATAGGATTAATTCGTGACTAAAATAAAAATGTTTCTATGGAAACTGATTCAACTAGCAATAGTTCTGAATTTTAAAATACATTGATTTTCGATTAAATGGAAGACAGTGTTGCAACAAATTCTGTCAAGACTTGTTACTATTTCCCAAATACTGTAGAATACTTTATTTTTGCTTGGAATTTATTTTTGCTATTTTTGCTGAAGGGATGATTCCGTGAAAATAAAATCCAGCGAATATACTTTTTTTCCTATATTTAACATTAAACACATCAAAAATCAGAGAAAATATATTCCAAGCAAAACGCCCAAAAAACCTTTTCAGCGAAAATTAATTCCAGCGAAAATAAAGTATTCCACAGTAATGAAATGAAGGACATGTCATTTTTTCATTCGTACATAGAAACATTTCTGCAAAAACCTTTGTGTATAACATAACTTCAAATCAGGTTTTAAAATTTCCTTTTTTAAAATGAGCAAAACGTATGAACAAGGTACAATGCACATTTTTATTTAATTCATTCTATGTTGTCAAAATTTCTGTTAAAATAATTTGTTTTTTATCCATATTTTACGAATATTTTGAGGAAGTCTCACCCTAACACATGAGATGCCCTTTTTCTCGTCTATGTGTCGTACATTGATATATTGTACCAATATTCATTGATAAAGTAAAGATACCATCAGATATATATATTTCCATTGAAATAAAGGACAATTTGTTTTATTATGTGGCTGCAGAACTACCGTGGATTACAAATTACATATCAGTATGTTTTTATCATTGATCCTAAATTTGGTTTATGGCCAATGATATACAACATGATACGGTATTCTCCATATTTTCGAGGATTAGGCAGAAAGCACTTGTGTATAAAATCAGGTGAACTTTGTACTACAGTGTCTGCGTCATAAATGACCTTTTAATCTACATACATGTTTATAACTAAAATGAAAAATATTCACGAGTTTTAAATTTTGTAGTTTATTTATGGTGATTCTTAGGGCACCATAATCTTCCCGCCAAAATTTAGTCAATATAATCAGCATATTTTTATGTATTTTTCTCGAATTTTTTTGATGATATTTCGTCAAATGAAAATATATCTTATTGGCTACAAGTATTGATCAACCTTTTTGAAAAAAAATAGAAAAACAATTATATGGGTTTTCATTTGAAATGACAAATATTGACATGGTGTTATACGGTTACGCTCTTGATTTGCATACACCCCATGATTGGTTTTTAATTCAGAAAATTTCACAATAAGCTAAATTAAAAATAGACCTAAAAAATGGATTTGTTATCACCACGCATGTTAAAAACTTTAATTACAGTGAGTTTCAGAGTTGTTCTTACAACTGTTTATGGTCACAAATTGACAACTGTGTATTTTACGTACTCGCCATTTTCCAGCTGGTATCCCACGGTCGACTGAAAATGAGTAATCAAACAGAAAACCATGCAGTTTTAGTGAGGAAGTTGAAAATTAAACAGCACAAACTATCACCTCACATTTGATATTTTGGGAGGAATGCTTGTAAAATAGAATAGAATAGAATAGAATAGAATAGAATAGAATAGAATAGAATAGAATAGAATAGAATAGAATAGAATAGAATTGGTAGAGATTTTTTTTTATTTATCTATATTTTCTTGTTTATAACTGTTTTTTATTTGTTTGTTTTTTTGCATATGGGAACTGCTTTTGCAAATATCGGTATCATAAATCATGTTTGAAGTTGATTACATTACCCAGTTTTGTGAAGTTTAGAAAATCTATAAAATAAATTTTCTGAAATATGGCCAAAAAAATTTAGGGTTAGGCAATAAAAAAACAGGGTAGGAACCATACAATTTTGTTTTCTTGGACTTTTGAAGTCTTAAAAGGCTTATAATTATAAATACAATGTACTACTACAAGGGTTACACTGTAGGAGTTACAGTACAGTTTAATTGAAGCGATAGAAAGCTGGTAGATTACATTTAAACAGTGCTTTTGTCCAAGTCGACAAATCATACAGGTGTGAGATGAATATACCGTGTTTGCACACGTTTTTTTTTATTTATCAATAGAAAGCACACAATGAAAAAAAAAAAAAAAAAAAAAACTAGGCAAAAAATAATCCTAAAATAAACTCACAACTGTTTACTACTGAGATTAGCAACAAAACATGCGTGTGGCTTTATGACGAGTTTGCCTTGGTGACTTTTGAAAGTACAGATACCGAATTAGCTCTATTTAAAGCGCACATGAAAAAAAAAAAAACTGCAATTATTGCGTGCCTGTTCATTAAAATGTTACTCGCTACAACTATACATACATAAACACCTGTCTTGTACATAAAAGTGCGTGTACTACTGATACAGCATTGTGCCTTTATGTTCACATAAAGTTACACCAGAGTGAGAAAAAAGTCGGGGTTAACTTGTTACGCCAGCATGAAGAAATTTGAATATAAGGTAACACTGACACCAACATAAAAGACAGATCGTTTAAGAGGGTTCAAAGCGAATTGACAAAAAATTGACATATTATTTCATAGAGAGTTTCCAGGCAGGTCACACCTTCACTCTAGTTGAGTGGTAAAATCTGAATTTCTGGCCCATCGTTGCCATAGCAAAGGCTAAAAAACTTCGCACCAACTACAAATCTAGGATTAAACGCCTCGAACATAGCTCATTCTACTCAACTTGAGTGTGGGCACAAAGTTAATATTTTTTATTACCGGGAAATTTTACCTCAAAGTTGGGGTAACTTTTCACCGAGAACAACTTTTTAACTCTTCTGTGATATTTTTGGCTGGGCCAATGTTGTTCATATTTGGTAGGCAAGTCGTACCTTCACTATAGTTGATGCCAATAAAAAAAAATGATTTTTGTATACTTTCATGCCAAATGTATCACTTCATACCAGACTTGTAATAACAGTGTTCAAATGATCATGTTTTTTATTTTGGATATGCTGTGCACAAGAGAGAGAGACCTCCAGTGCTGACATTGTTACACTGTATCAATGCAAGTTCCAATGCAACTTTGACTCAATTGTAAATGCTGCTTTAATCAAAGAATCTAGAAAATACATTTGCCAAATTTGTCATCTTATCGAAATCTAGGATAAAGGTTCAACGGTCAACTTGTGTGGATATAATAACAATAACAGCAAAAGACACACTAGTAATAAAGTGAAGTGACATTGGAAGACTGAATGCTCTTTGTTAACGTATATGGAGACCCGGTTTTCGTTATAAGTCGACATTAGCTTCACAGCCAACAGCCGAAAACATATTGTTTGTTTATTGAATGGAGCGGATTGCCAATCTGTCTATCGGCTTGTTAAAAAATGACTCATTTTCACCATAGATACACCTCTGGTGTTTACAAAAGTACATGTGCTACTAATAGAGCAAATACAGTATCTAGAGCAAATAATTTGACTGCATTTTATTCAATTTCAGAATTTTATTGCAGTATCTTTAAACCAAAAAGTGCAGCATCCCTGGTTGTAACATTTATACACAATATTTCATTGC